AAAATAATGGGCTTGTTGTGAAGACCTGGGATAGCTATTTCAGGATACTCCATAAACATTCATGACCAGTGCCCCCATAAATTATAAGCCTCAATGTTCCCAATCTCATGATTTCAAAAATCATGAATCGGAGCTTAATAAAATAATACAATTAATAATAATAATAATAATATATTGTAAATGTTGTCTTGCCTTCTGACTCTTCAGGGTACACTCAAAACATGTTTTCAAACTTTTCTCTGGCACTCCAGGGGCCAAAAATCCTATCGTGCTCATTTTGTTATATAAAGGGAAAGCTCTGCTTTTCAATTATAAATATTCATTTTACTTCAGTTTGAGGCTTTAAGTAAAATACCAAATATCATGAAACAGATGAAACCATTGTGAGCGCTGTCAATACTGGTCCCTGTATCTTGGCATACAAACATTGATAAAACATTAATTTAATCCTGGTACATGTTAATAGTCTTGCAATGAGAGCGATGTATTAACAATATTGTTTCATCCAAAGCTGAAAATCAGTATATCTGGTGACATTTTCTGTAACAATTATCACATTACTGTAGACTTTGTTAAAGCTGCAGTGAGATTTATAAAAGATGCCCTAGTGGAGTCTGCATTATGTTAAATTCATCCAGGCCAAATATTGATTTGCACTTATGACCATGTTCCACTAATCTACCCTCCCAAATACATCAGAATAACACTGCAACACCAAACATAACCCCCCCAACACACCCCATAAACACAATTTAATAGAATATTTAAGGTAAGCCAGAGCCATGTAGATTAGTTTACTAGACATACCCAAATGAAGCGGCTACTTAAAAATTGCCACTTCATTTAAATTAAAATGGCTGCCGTACTGAGCTGATCAGCTGTTTGTTGGCTCAGCGCGCTAGTCTGGACACTTCGCGGTTGACATCAAAGGCATTTGTTGACTGTCCTGTTATGCCTCGTGGGATGAGGTTTACCAGGGTGGTCAACAAATGCCTTTGATGTCAACCGCGAAGTGTCCAGACTAGCGCGCTGAGCCAACAAACAGCTGATCAGCTCAGTACGGCAGCCATTTTAATTTAAATGAAGTGGTCGCCACTTCATTTGAGTATGTCTAGTAAACTAATCTACATGGCTCTGGTGACAGAGACATGTAGTCTGGACGTACCCACAATGTACATTTCTGCAGTTAAATGCTTTTTTCATCTAAAGACTTTTTTCAAACCAAGAATAATCGAATGTGTAATATTCTCCATACACCATTTTCATATGTGTGAGAAAAACCTAATTTCACTAACCACGATTTCCTAATGTGCACATGTCAGACCCAAATTATATCTAATTGTTTAGATTCTTTTAAAGACCTATGCTGAACTGAAGTGTGGAAAAAGTTTTCT